TAAACAGGAGATTTAAATAATCAAATAATAAATAGGATTATATATTATAAAATATGCTTGGAATAATAAGAATACATTTTACATAAGTATTTTTAAATACATTTTACACAATAATAAGAATACATTCGTAAATAAAATTAATTTTATTTACAGCAGATAATCATGTGACTGGCCACGTGAGCAGCGCGTTCCCGGGTTGGTAGGATCACAGAACTCGCTCCTCCACTGTGAATAAATCACCATCCGAATCCATGAGTTTTATCACTGAGGTGATATGTAAATTAGGTGAAAGAGTCTCTATGAGCTGAGAATTAACTGACTTCTGTGACGTGAGGCGACTAGCACACGGTCGGGTTAGCCAGTCGGTCTGCTTCCTGACCTGTGCCCCAGTTAGTCAAGTACAAACCCTAAAGACAATGTGCCATATTTCTAGAGAGAAGAGCGGCACTACCCCTGGAGGGATGAAGACCATCTCTTTTCAACAGGTCAGGTCTGCCCCAAAAACTCGTCCAATTGTCTATGAAACCAATGTTATTCTGCGGGCACCACTTAGACATCCAGCCATTGAGTGACAACAGTCTGCTATGTATCTCGTCACCACGGTAAGCAGGAAGGGGGGACTAGAGCATATTACAGCGTCTGACATCGTACTTGCACACACCTTTTTAATGTTATTAACAATGATTTGAGTAATATGAATTCATCTGTGAAAACTTACCCCAAAGTGTTGCGTCGACATAGGCATGTGCTCGCGGCAAACCAAGTTCGATTCCAGTCTCATGGTCCTTTGCCGATCCCGTCCCCGTCCCCCTTTCCTGTCATGTCTCTACTGTCCTGTCCCAATAAAGGTATAAAAAGCCCATAAATATAACTTTTAAAAAACATACCCCAAAGTGTTAATTACATTAAATAACAAACATGTACTAACATGTAGTCAAGGTGGTTGTTATTCACACACGAATTCATATGACTCATATGATGTTGTAGTTAAGGTTAGTTCTATGATTAGTACATGCCTTAACTCATATTAAAGTAACATTTAAGTTACATATTAGTACTTGATTATTCATGTACGGTTATTGTAAAGTAGAGGTCTGCATTCCTGCGGGAACCGCAGGACCCGACTGGATTTTTTGCACCATGGGATTAAATTACCGAATAAAACGCGGAAGCGGTTGGTAACTCTGGTGTAATTTGAATGGGAGCGGGCGGTCTAACAATATCCCGTTCCCGACGTCCATTTATAACAGCATATCTGCGCTTTATTCTTATTGACCACCGGTACAGCTTGTGCTCAGGACCGAATAAAAATAGCTAATAGGCTATTTTTGTACAACCTACATTTTATTTTTTTTTCTCTCTGCGACACTTTCTCTCTATTGTGTTGTCAATGTTAAACTAATTGTATCCTGACAAGACGAATAAAAATAAGAAATACAATTTTTTTCCTACTGTGTTGCATAAAATATTAAACGAATTTAGTGTTTTAAGATAATTCATATAAATTCAAGTCAAAGTCAATAAATTCAAGACTCTTGACAAGACGAATAAAATAACAGACTACACTTTTATTTGTTAGCCTATCTCTCTTTCTTTCAGTAGCGGAAATTTAAATGTGAGATTCTGGAAACCAGATCTAAATTTAGCGGGAACGGTCGGGTCGGGTACATATAGCACAAAATGAATGCGTTAAATCGACAGCCCTAGTAGTAAATAAGTAATCAGTACCCTAAATCTAGGCTGCAGTGTTGCAATTAGTTTAATTCAGATTCTAGAATTTGTAACATACAATTCAATTGATGCTACAGGTGTGAATTCATGGGATGTTGTAAAATTAATTGATCCAGTTCTGATTGGATGAGCCTTCCTCGAAGCTCTGCCAGCTGATAACAGAAAATCTCATAAACTTGCCTATTCTATATTAATATGGCAGGTTATTAGGTTCACTGGCAACTGTTAAAAATAATAATAATAATTGATGGGAATTATTTGACACAATGAGACACAATTCACTAGAACCTATATGTCTGATGTTAATACATTTATTAATTACAATTAGCACAATAAACAATTTTTCTTAGTGTAGGCTGAAATCTTAAAACTTTAATGTAGAATTCAGCATTGATACAGAATTCAGTTTATCACTAGTAAAATAATTATTATACTTAATGTTTTTTTTTTATTTTGCAGTGAAGTTGTATTACAATTGTAATATGTTTCTGTCTTAGAGATATAATCTCTAATAATACATTATTATTATTATTATTATTACTATTATTTTATAGTAGTAATAGTTGTTGTTGTTGTTTTTATTCCTAAAAACACTAGTGTGAATGTAATGTTGACACTGTCACAACTAAAAAGAGGTTTGAGCCCCCTTTAAAATCCAGGTATAAGTAAATGCAAAGCCTTTTTTTTTTTGACTATTTAATTTGGTCACTGTTGCAGTTCATATTCAAACAGTGCCCCTTGCATAATATTCATTATTAGAGACAAGAAAACGTTGTGTGACTAGGTTTATTTCATATGTTGATTGTTCATCTGATTAATGATTTAATGTAATAAGCTGTAACTCTCCATTAGCAGAATGTTACTTGACCAAAAATAAAAAATCCTGGTCAAATAAGAATGATAGTTTCTGTTCTACTGGCAATATATAATCTATGATTGTGTTTTCTAAAGATATGTCCAAACGTACAGACAACCAATAACATTAGAGAGACAAGACTAAAAACGTCTACAAGCAACATTACAGAACAGAAAGTAGTGACATGCAGCAACAAAGATGCTTGCTGTGTGAACGCATCTTGTGACTGCTGGCCTGGTGCTGCTTGAACTGCTGGAGCTGTGGGCCTGCAGCTGGACACTATTGGATACTTTTAAGATCAGGGTTCTTAACTCTGACCCTCGAGATACATTTTCCTGCAGAGTTTAGCTCTAACCCTGATCAAACACACCTGAACAAGCGAATCAAGATCTTCAGGATTACTAGAGAGTTACTAGCAGGTGAGTTTGATCAAGGTTGTAGCTAAACTCTGCAGGAAAGTGGATCTCGAGGGCCAGAGTTGAGAACCCTTACTTTAAGACCTAATGCATGGCCTAAGATCTACATAATGCATTATACTGTATGAACACACATCATTTACTTCATAACTGGTTACATTTACTTAAGGCCTAAAAAACTGCATTTACATGAATAATCACGAAGACGGACAGGTTGTTTATAGAGAACAACCTATAAATACTTGATTTTTTTCTGAAATATTGTTAATCTTCATCGCTCAAAATTTGAAGGAATATCAGCTACGGGTATACCACTGCTCTACTAACATGTTTGACAAAATAGCCATGGCATTTCAACAAAAACCTTTATTTTGTGCAAAACAGTGATTGAAATTAGACAACAGTAACTACTGTAGCACGAAAGAAGATTTCAACAAAAATTTTGGCAGGTTACAGCTGTCAGAAATTCAAAGCCCCTGCTTTGAATGACTTCAGCACATCTGCAGGACATCGCTAGTTTCTCACACTGCACTGGTGTGATCTTGGTCCACTTCTCTCAGGATAGCAGAATGAACAGGTGGGAGAGGGGCAGAATGTGGGAATATTATCCACGTATTAATTGATTGCAGATTATGTTTTTCTCTTGGATGGATAAAAACATAAACATTTTTAAAATGGGTCACTGAATATGCAGTGCTTTGGCTGCCCAAGTTAAGTCTATGTGTGGGAAACACTTCATTCATTTAAACATTAAGTGTCTTTAAAGCTGCACTATGTAACTTTTGGCGCTCTAGCGGTTAATAAACAGAACTGCACACATCCCGCGGAAGAACATTCCAACCGGAGCTACTTCTCTAAGTTTATGTCTATGGCGATTCACGCATGTATGTGTTACTCCGCACGACCCGACCAGGCTACAATAGTCCAAATATAAGTACTTATTATAAGTGTACCGTAGTGATTCGGAATAAGACAAAAATGCGGTTTGGAAGATGAATTCATGATGTACTCGCTCATTATATACATTTTGCAAATTTTGAACACAGAAAAGTTGCATAGTGCTGCTTTAAAGGGTTATGTGTCAGTAGTTGCTGTTCCCAGAAAAGCATAAAAAAATGGCACGCCTCACATATGACCCTGTTATGCAGTGTCCTGCCATCAGCAGGACCTGTGGGGTGGAAATCGATGGCTGAGAGTGAGAGGGGCATGCTCAATTTACCTAAAATGAAGGAAAGATTACTTGTAATCTCAAAACTGATGTTGAAGACAATTTTTAATTTTTAATTTTTTTTTTGTGATCAAAATTTCTTACTGTTTTAGAATTTCAGCATGCATGAATCGGATCCAAAATCACAAATCAGAAGTACTATAAACAAACAGATGCCACAAAAACTGAGATTGACTTGAGAAGGTGATTAGCTACACCTGATTTGAGTTTACATTTTTCTTTTTCCAACTCAGTTATTGTTTTTGTTTTGTTTTTTATGTTGGTGTTATATCTTTCACTTGGATGTTAAAAGTTGCACTGAGTAAATACAGCTTGATAAAACAAAAACTGTGCCCGTCTTCATTTCAGGCTGCAAAGCAACAAAATGTGATTATTTTAAAGGGGGGGAGGTGATTCTTTTCTGTACCCACTGTATATGAGCCTACACCTAGACTTATTACAGAGATGACAATAAGGGTCTGACCTAACTTTCATTTTATACAGCCTGCTTGGAGTGATGCCCTATTAATAAGCTTATAATTTATCATCTGATGTGCAAGGTTCTTAGATGGAAAAAAAAACTAGCCCATACCACATCCCAGGTGAACACAACAGTGTTCATTAAATGCTCTGGAAGCTGTGCTTTACTGTCTTTTTATTTTTATAAAAAGTGAGAAAATGGAATATGACACCACTGTTCTATAATTTTCATTTAAATGTTCTTTACATTTAAAATATTTCAGTTGGCTAATAATGATCAGAACAAACCTATCTTTTCTTTCTTCATCAGACGGACCGTGCAGTGCAGTTGCTTTTGGAGACCAGTGCAGATAACTCCAGCTACTACTGTGACTCTCTCAAAGCCTGTCTGGTTACAACCATCACCTCATCCGGCCCGTCTCAGAGCACCATTAAACTGGTGGCCACAAACATGATTGCCAGTGGCAAACTGGCAGGTATAGCAAAAAGAGTCAGCCTTGTTTGAAACCTGTATGTTTTTCTTTCTTGTATAGAACACTAAAGGAGATGTTTGTCTAAGCTCTTTTTCCATATAATGAAAACAAACATTGATCAGTGGCTGTAAACTTCGAAAAGAGCAAAAAAGTATCAAGAGTTTATACTCCTTATTCCCTATAGTATATTTCATACAATACAAGCTTTATGTCAGGAGTCACCAATATTCATTATTGTATTGTATTCTGGGATTGCCTTATCGATAAAAGATACTGTACATGCATTGCTGCCGGAACTCAGCCAAAACATAGTATCTTAGATGGCTGCATGATTTTTCTGCCTGGGTGAATGTCATGAAAACATGTCCAGGTCATATTTGAAACCTGGCCAAAAAAAAAAGACAGAATAAAAGAAAAATACATTTTTTATAAAGAAAATTAAGAAATTATAGATTGCATATGTAATAATTTGCCCTCACATGGGTACCACTAATGTAATATTTTCCCCACAATGGACCAGAACGCAGTGGGTCTCACAGGTGCCACCAATTAATATTGTGAGTTACAGTCATGTCACTTAAAGTGAATGTGAGAGTGTTGGATGATTCCTTTCTCTTTTTATAAAATGGGGCATAAAGGTCTCTCACCTTAACATTTAATTACAATCAAGGAAGGTGAATAAATAACAATTATGTAAATTGGTGGTAGTTTGTCATATGACCAATCAGAAGGATTTGTGAGAGATTCTAAACTAGTAGATCTTCTTACAGTATTATCATCACAAGGAAGGTACAGTTGTAATAAAATATGTTATTAGCAAAAAGATAAACAAGAGTAATCAACAAAACTACTAAATATCATGATTGATAAAGGAGTAAAGTGTATAAGGTACATAAAATGTAGGTGATTAAATTGGGTATTATGGCAAATCAAAGATTGGCACAAAACAAAGTCCACCTTAAAATAATGTGTTGTAAATCAAAGCTTATTTGTTGTATATAATTGACTTAGTTATATAATATTTAATGCAAATTAGAAGATCTTGAACTGGTAATGTGCTTGGAACTATGTGGGATGCTGATCTCCTGGAGCATGAAAAAGGTTCTTAAACCTGGAACATGCATATGAGGCCCTGAAGTAGGCGCAGACGGCACCTAACAATCTGGTACACACAGTTGATGGTGCCTTGAAGAGAAGGTTTGCTCTCTGGAGTTTAACCTTCTTACAGATGTGTCTGTATATCTTCTGTCTTTCTGGGCCAGAGACTTAGATCTTGATCATTCTGCTTTTGTCTTCATGAGATGGGGACTCAGGAATTGCTGCATCTTGTTATCTCGTTGGACCAAGAATAGTTCTTAGGTAGAACATAGTGTGCCTTTTAATGTCTCACAAAATCACCATCAGGTGACGCAAAGGGATGGTTTTAAAGGGGGGGAGGTGATTCTTTTCTGTACCCACTGTATATGAGCCTACACCTAGACTTATTACAGAGATGACAATAAGGGTCTGACCTAACTTTCATTTTATACAGCCTGCTTGGAGTGATGCCCTATTAATAAGCTTATAATTTATCATCTGATGTGCAAGGTTCTTAGATGGAAAAAAAAACTAGCCCATACCACATCCCAGGTGAACACAACAGTGTTCATTAAATGCTCTGGAAGCTGTGCTTTACTGTCTTTTTATTTTTATAAAAAGTGAGAAAATGGAATATGACACCACTGTTCTATAATTTTCATTTAAATGTTCTTTACATTTAAAATATTTCAGTTGGCTAATAATGATCAGAACAAACCTATCTTTTCTTTCTTCATCAGACGGACCGTGCAGTGCAGTTGCTTTTGGAGACCAGTGCAGATAACTCCAGCTACTACTGTGACTCTCTCAAAGCCTGTCTGGTTACAACCATCACCTCATCCGGCCCGTCTCAGAGCACCATTAAACTGGTGGCCACAAACATGATTGCCAGTGGCAAACTGGCAGGTATAGCAAAAAGAGTCAGCCTTGTTTGAAACCTGTATGTTTTTCTTTCTTGTATAGAACACTAAAGGAGATGTTTGTCTAAGCTCTTTTTCCATATAATGAAAACAAACATTGATCAGTGGCTGTAAACTTCGAAAAGAGCAAAAAAGTATCAAGAGTTTATACTCCTTATTCCCTATAGTATATTTCATACAATACAAGCTTTATGTCAGGAGTCACCAATATTCATTATTGTATTGTATTCTGGGATTGCCTTATCGATAAAAGATACTGTACATGCATTGCTGCCGGAACTCAGCCAAAACATAGTATCTTAGATGGCTGCATGATTTTTCTGCCTGGGTGAATGTCATGAAAACATGTCCAGGTCATATTTGAAACCTGGCCAAAAAAAAAAGACAGAATAAAAGAAAAATACATTTTTTATAAAGAAAATTAAGAAATTATAGATTGCATATGTAATAATTTGCCCTCACATGGGTACCACTAATGTAATATTTTCCCCACAATGGACCAGAACGCAGTGGGTCTCACAGGTGCCACCAATTAATATTGTGAGTTACAGTCATGTCACTTAAAGTGAATGTGAGAGTGTTGGATGATTCCTTTCTCTTTTTATAAAATGGGGCATAAAGGTCTCTCACCTTAACATTTAATTACAATCAAGGAAGGTGAATAAATAACAATTATGTAAATTGGTGGTAGTTTGTCATATGACCAATCAGAAGGATTTGTGAGAGATTCTAAACTAGTAGATCTTCTTACAGTATTATCATCACAAGGAAGGTACAGTTGTAATAAAATATGTTATTAGCAAAAAGATAAACAAGAGTAATCAACAAAACTACTAAATATCATGATTGATAAAGGAGTAAAGTGTATAAGGTACATAAAATGTAGGTGATTAAATTGGGTATTATGGCAAATCAAAGATTGGCACAAAACAAAGTCCACCTTAAAATAATGTGTTGTAAATCAAAGCTTATTTGTTGTATATAATTGACTTAGTTATATAATATTTAATGCAAATTAGAAGATCTTGAACTGGTAATGTGCTTGGAACTATGTGGGATGCTGATCTCCTGGAGCATGAAAAAGGTTCTTAAACCTGGAACATGCATATGAGGCCCTGAAGTAGGCGCAGACGGCACCTAACAATCTGGTACACACAGTTGATGGTGCCTTGAAGAGAAGGTTTGCTCTCTGGAGTTTAACCTTCTTACAGATGTGTCTGTATATCTTCTGTCTTTCTGGGCCAGAGACTTAGATCTTGATCATTCTGCTTTTGTCTTCATGAGATGGGGACTCAGGAATTGCTGCATCTTGTTATCTCGTTGGACCAAGAATAGTTCTTAGGTAGAACATAGTGTGCCTTTTAATGTCTCACAAAATCACCATCAGGTGACGCAAAGGGATGGTGTGCATCACTGCTCAGTAAAGCTGAAATTGTGACATTTTCACTTGTAAATGAAATCGATTGATAAAATAAAATAAATAGATTACTGGTAATATTCACAATGATAATAATATAGCATAACATTTAATCTTGACTAATTATTCAACATATACATTTTTAAGGTTACAACTATTTGATTGCTGTAACAGTGAAATATTTGAAGTGTGCTTCATTTTTTTATTGTACAGTACTAGGCAGTATTTTAGATTATTATTATACATTTAAAAAGGTGTGCCATAAAATAAATAAAAGGTGGAATACACTGAATGGGAAAATTATGAGTGATATAGGCCTAGCCTAGTTTTCTAACACATATTTACATTTGTATAAGCCCAGTGGGGAGTGGGTTGGGGATTGGACAGTTCAGTAAACTTCATCATGAAGGTGGAAATACAAAGGTGGAAATTGCTACTCTTTCTTACAGAGAGTGTCTGTAAGAAATGCAAGTGTTTTTGCTAGTTCCAGCCCGAAGCAGTTATCATTTTCACGTCCTGTGCCACGTTGTTTAAATAGCAAATGCATTTGCGCCCATCTGTGCACCCATGGGTGTGCTGGTCTGAAAACGAGGTGTGTTCAGGCACATTGCTATTTTGAGGCAACTGACATAGACTGCGCCTTTGACCAACTGAAACCTGGTCTAAAGTCAATATTTTTTTTCAATATTTTTTTTGTTAATTAAAGAGTGCGTTAGTAATATGCGCCTATAGACGGCTGAACAACGCATGTACACTCTGCTTATTACACACACCGGGACACGCAGCAGCACACAAACATGGCAAATATTAAAAACGAAAGGATTACATGTGTTCAGGTGCATTGTTGGCACGTTGCTATTTTGAGGCAACTGAAATAGACTGTGCAATTGACCAACTGAAACCTGGTCAAAAGTCAATGACGCAATATTTTTTTTGTTATTTAAAGAGCGTGTTAGTAATATGCGCCTATAGGTGGTTGAACAACATGTGTACACTCATGCCAGATATTAAAAATGAAAGGATTACAATGTATAAGATTATTATTGTACCCCGTAGATGGTCTTTCCTCTCTGGAGAAGTGTTGAGTCTTTGCTCTTGCAAATTCTGTCATGTAAATAGCAAATCCTCCATGGCGCGAGCGCAACTGCCTTTTAAATGGAATGGGAGATGAGACTCTGATTGGTTTATTGCACGTTACACTCAAAACACACCCATTATTCATTAAGAGAATAGGGACAACCCTTTTAGACATCACCTTTATTTTATGCCAAAAAAAATATAACATCATTAAAAATAAAAAAAATACTGATATAAAAACAAAATACTGCACACCTGTTAAATGTGTAAAATTTGTATTTCGTAAAATCTAAAATACGGTGTAATACTGTGTAGAATACAGGAAAACGTATGCACAGTCTCACAGTCTTGAAATTTACTATGTGGCTTGAATTCGTTCTAAATAAACTCACATAAGTTCTTAAGTACTACGTTTGTTTCTGTGAATATGAATTATTTTAACTACTGTGTTTTTCTTAGATTATCTACCAAGATAGATTAGATTAGTTTATTCTTCCCATAGTACATCCTTCTGCCATATCTTACCCAAGTAAACAACGCACATGCACCCGGCCATCCACTTGATCTAAAAGAAACCGTGATTCATCAGACCAGGCAACCTTCTTCCATTGCTGCATTGTCCAGTTCTGACACTCACATGGCTATTGTTGGTGCTTTCAGTGGTGGACAGGGGTCATAATGGGCACTATGACTGATTTGGAGCTATGCACACTGCGATGCACTGTGTTCTGACATCATCTTTTATGCAGCATTAAGTTTTTCAGTAATTTTAGCTACAGTAGTGCTTCTGTGTGATCTGACCAGCTGGGCTTGTCTTAGATCCCCACTTGCATCAGTGAGCCTTGGGCACCCGTGAACCTGATGCTGGTTCACCAGTTGTCCTTCCTTGCACCACTTTTGGTACGTACAAACCACTACATACTGGGAACACCCCACAAGCCATTTTGGAGATGCTCTAACCCAGTCGTCTAGACGTCGCTATTTGGCCCTTGTCAAAGTCACTCAGATCTTTTTGCTTGCCCACACATTCTGCTTCCAACAGATGAAATTCAAGAAGTGACTGTTCACTTGCTGCCTACTATATCCCACCTATTGACAGGTGCGATTTTAACAGTATAATCAATGTTATTCACTTCACTTCTCTTTAGTGGTTTTCTCATCATATATAATCATCTGTAGACATGATGATTATATTGGTTATGTATTGAAAAACATCATAGATTGTACACACTCATTCCAGGCACAGCCAAAACAGATCAGTTCTAGCATTTAAGCGACACTGAGCGAGTTATCTTGCACCAGTGGTCATGTACCATAACACTGTGTCTACACCGCTTTCTCATACAGTCTGCATTTGACTAGTTTATCAAGTATTCTGTGATCTAGGAACTTGTACTCACTTCAATTCTTTCAACAGTCACAACAGACCTTGATACAGTTGCTTCAGTTATTGTGATTTGCCTTGGAATTTGAGGCACATCTGCTGTTTTTCTGTTTCACAGATGAAAAGTGACTGAACAGAGTTTTGTTCTCAAAGACAGTGCTGCATAAAATCTGCTTTTCCGAATATTGCAGAGTTTGATTTTGCGATAAATTCTGCAATTACAGAATTGCAAAATCCTGGAGGGACTGATTATTGCCTTGCCTTTGCCTGTTGGATCGTTTACTTGTGCTGGATTTTTGCCTGGACTTTGCCTATGTTTCGTGTTGCCCTCTTGGATTTGTCATTTGGAATTACCCTTGTAATAAACCGCAAATCGATCCTACAACTCAGCCATCAGTAAGTTCTTTACAGAATACTTTTCCCTCTCTGGATCCAATGGAGGTAGATACATTTTGAATATCAGAGTGAGATCTTTCAAGGATACCAACAACAACTCACCAATCTACAAGCCGTGAACGAACATCTGACGCAACACATTCAGTCTCCCTTAAATCAACACCATCTGAACTGGTAAGATTTAGATTTTTAGATAAACTGCTTAATCTGCATTAGGCGCCCTTAAAACCAGCTTTACAAATGCCCCATCCTTAAACACCCTGATCCCAACTTGCCTTTCATAATTGAAGTCGGTGCTTCTGACTTTGGCATTGGGACAGTTATCTCTCAAAGACACAGCACACCAGGCAAAATGTTTCATTGTTTTTTTTGTGGTTTTTTTGCAGAGTGAAACAATGATGTCGCAAATAAAGAACTGTTATCTATCAAAGCAACAAATAGAGGAGTAGAGACACTGGCTAGAGGGAGCCACACATCTGTTCCAAGTCTGTGTTCTTATCACAGATGATAAGAACCTTGAGTATATCAAATTTGCCAAAAGACTGAATCCCAGACCAGCTCATTGTTCTTAACACACTTTTGTTTCACTGTCACCGACTGTCCATGCAGCATAAACTGCAAAGCCAGTTCCCTTTCAAGAAGGTATGATGCTACACTACCCACCAGTAAGTATGTGACTTTGCGCAGTGGATCTGCATAACTGGACTAACCAGCTGACCATTCTCGTTGCACAGGATCTGAAATGTTTTGGTCATTGCCTGAGCCGAAGTCTGTCGTCAAAGTGGTTCGGTATAATTACCTCCTAGAACTGTCTTACACAACTGCATTCCCAAACAGCAGGCATCCATGTTTAATTTTGTCTGCTCACTTTAAGGAACAAGTAATTATATTTGGAAAAAGACCCACAGTGGCATCTTCTACTGCAGCAAATTACATTTTTCTTAGTGTTATTTGTCACCAGCTTATCAGGAAGTGACGATTTTGTGCTCTTTGTCTCATTGAATGGAAACTGTGCTTTATTTGCAAATGTTTTATTTGATATTACAATTTTGCGCACAACTTAAATTCACAACTTTAGATGGAAACATAGCTATTGATCCACAACTACCACAGAGATTATTCTACACGTCCAGCACCCTGACCAAGGAAATGGCCCAGGAAAGGAACACCAGAAGGTGCTCACGGGTGGGGGTTTCTATGCCGTCTCAGTCTGCTACTTATCAAGGGTCAATATTCAGGGGATAACTGAGGGAGCCATCCCCTGAATATTGAACCTTCTCACAAGTCACAACTTCCGTTGCATCTTCCTGTTTGTTAGCTTTATAGCCATGCAGTACTCAGAGCACATTTGCAAAGTATTATCATTATAGTCTGCCTTACCAAGCGTGTTCTCAATGTACCTTGTTTTGCTTCACGTGTATGACTTCTCACCTGTTTTTTGGATCACAATTTGTTGTATTATTGCCTTGCCTTGTTTGCCTGTCAGATTGCTTACTTGTGCTGAATTTTTGCCCTTTTGTTTCATGTTTCCCTTTTGGATTTGTCATTTGGAATTAGCTTTTTAAAAAAATGTAAATGGATCCTACAACTCAGCCATCAGCAAGTTCCTTACAGTGCTAAAGAAAAGTATCTAGTTAACACATAATTACGTGCTCATACCTTTCAAAGCATAAATCTGTATTCAGATTTCAGAATGAGCACCTTGACATTTACAGTATATGTGGCTTGCTCGCACTTTTAAGAAGCAGGGAAAATTCCCAACTTTAAATAAATAACCATTTACATGATTAGGATGTTTGCATTGTAAAAATAAGGATATTTCAGACATAAAAACACTGACTCATTAGGCAAAGTTTACTCATTAAAATCAGATGCAGTTGCTTCACTTATGATGTTGTGAGAAATTCAGTTCTTTATTATTAGTAAATTTAAGTTTGTAACCATTTAAGTTTGAAACCACGTGAATGCTGTCTTAACTATGACTGTGGTATAATGTGTTAGCCTGGATGACCACCATCTATGCTGGGCATAGTATCTGTTTTATGTTGGGATCATGTCTAAATTATACCAACCTGAATTACTTAAAATGTGAAACAGACTGTTTGTTCCTATGCAACTATTTAGGGTTTGCTTTAATGGCTGGTGCAACTGCCGTTGCCATGTATGCGCTTATCAGTTCATATAGTACTAGATAGATTCACTCTGTCACCAGAGAAATGTTATACAGCGCATCTAGGTCACCTGCAGATAACAAGAGCACATCAGTCATATTCCAAATTAATACTTTCAACGTTTTTTTTTGTTTTGTTGTTGTCTCCTCTCTCTTTCTCTCTGCATCTCTGTCTCTTAAGAGTGTGTGCAGTTGCTCTGCCTGATCGACAAAGCAGCAGATGCTTGTCGTTATCTGCAGACGTATGGAGAGTGGAACCGTGCTGCCTGGCTGGCAAAGGTACTTTGAGCAAACACAATCTTGAGCCATTGATGAATCAATTCTTCATGATATATTCACAATTACTTTGCTAGCAATATAAAACTGATTGACACTATGAATATCGCAAATTTAATATATGTATATAGTTCTGATTTAAACGTTAGTAGCAAAAATTGTGCTAGAAATGGTTCAGTGCATTTCCACAAATCTACTTATATAGAGAGAGCTATAAACCAGACTTTCTCTTTGCAGCTTGTTTTGGCCAAAAACTACCCACTAAGACAACAAACAACAGTTTTATTTTATGTGCCAGGGACAGATAAATTTGAAATTGAGGATGTCACAGTAAAAGACACGACAAGTGGCAAAGTGTGCACAGACTTTGTGAGAGTTTCCATTTGTCGAAAGAAACAAGTGCATATTATTTTAATGAAATAACATAACTGCCTCAAAAAAAAGGTCTTGAATATCTTTCAAATATTTAATGTCAAATCTTTGAAACTAGTTCAAAACTAGTTATTCCTTGGTAGCACTCATTAATTTTGGCATTATGGGTGGAGTATATTAAAAGATACCCTTCCATAGAACATCACACCCCCCATCATTTTACCAACAAGAGAAAGCTGACTAAAACCTAGCTAGATCACAAAACGTACTCAGTTACTAACGTAACCTCGGTTCCCTGAGATACGGGAACGAGTACTGTGTTTGCTAGACGCATATGGGAAAAAAGCCTTTTTCTCCTGAACTGAAGCCTTTTTCATTCACGCAGTGAAACTGCATGGCCAGTGGTTCGTGCAGTGTATTAAAAAATGTACGAACCAATGGTTAGGCAGCGGAGCTGCACGAGCCTATGGCGACGAAGCCCGCCAAGCCTGCCAAAGCCCGCCAGACTGGCCGGGGCGTCTGGCTATATAAGCGGGCGTTCGCCACAGGATTCTCAGGTTACTTCGACTGAAACGACGACTGAGTCGTGCAGCTACATAGCACGGCTAGCAATGCAGTACTCGTTCCCGTATCTCAGGGAACCGAGGTTATGTTAGTAACCGAGTACGTTCCCTTTCGATACTACACTCGTACTGCGTCTGGTAGACGCATATGGGAACACAGTACAATCATGCCGTGCTAATGTAGTGGAATGACTAACGGTATAAAACTTCCATAAGCAACCAATGCCCATAGAGAAGTTAACAATAACCCAAGGCTAAGACGGGCTGGGCTTCCCGAGGTCACACCCGGCCTGGTTAATCGTTCCAGAGTACACCTGTAACTTAGACACCCAGGGGTCGAGAGCTAACAGGTGAAACAATGTCAGAGAACTGGAGCGTGATACGGCCAAGGGCTCTCTGCCAGATCTGTTTACGCAGCGCATGTCACTTCAAGTGGAAAGGACCCTGGCCTGCAAGGCCGGGACTTCCAGGAGGCCAAAGGAAGAGTACGCTAGCGAGATGGATACTATCCATCTAGAGAGTCTTTGCTTCGTGACCGGAAGCCCCTTGGTGCAGTTACCGAAGCTGACAAAGAGTTGTTCTGACGGCCTATAGGGGGCGGAACGCTCAATATAGATTCTCAGAGCTCTGACGAGGCAGAGCAGAGACAGCTCTCTGTCCTCTTCAGTTGGAAGAAGTGTGGAGAGCGTAATGACCTGTGCTCTGAATAGAGTGGAGAGCACCTTAGGTACGTAACCGTGCCTTGGTTTCTGGACGACTTTAGAGTCGTTAGGCCCGAATTCCAGGCAGGCAGGGCTAATAGAGAGCCTATTCGCTTTACTGATGTCGTAGAGGCGTCTCATAGACGGAGCTCTAGCCTCCAAAATAATGTTTAAGACTCACTCTGGGAGGCTCGAAGGCTCCCGTCGAGCGGCCAGAGGTGCCGGGCCCATAGGTCGGGCCGAGGATGCCATATTGTCCCGTTCGCTTGAGAGAGGCGATCCTGTCTCAGCGGAACAGGCCAAGGGGTCAGCTATCATTAGCTGAGTTAGCTCCGATAGCCACAGCTGGTTCATCCAAAGGGGGGCCACCAGGAGAACCCTGTGTTCTCGTTCCCTCTCTCGCCTGATTACCTGTGGCATCAGAGCGATCGGGGGAAAAGCATAAAGAAGGAGGTTGGGCCAATCGTGGGCCAACGCGTCCCTGGTCTTTGAGAAATAGATTGGGCAGTGAGAGTTGTCTTCGGCGAAGAGGTCCACCTCGGCCTCGCTGAAGATCTCCCAGATCCTCTGAACCGTCTGCGGATGGAGCGTCCACTCCCCTGAGGGGGCCTTGCTCCTTGATAACATGTCCGCGCCTTGGTTCAATTTGCCCGGTATATGCGCTGCTCTCAGCGAGCGCGGGTTGAGCACATGGTGCCCTTTTAGGACTGGCAGGAAGAACTGACAGGCTCGACATACTGCTAGTATTTCCAGGCAGTTGGTGTGGAAGCCTTTTTCCGCCTTCGGCCAGTGGCCGAAAGACGGTATGCCCTCGCACAGCGCCCACCAACCTGAGTTAGAGGCATCTGTTGTGACAGCTGTCCTTCTGCAAACCATTCCTATGGCCATGCCCTGTTCCATATAGCGGGAATTTTTTCCCCGGGGGCCAGGGCTGTTACAAAGGCCTGACGCACCCTGATCTGCAGGCGATCGTGACGCCACGCATGGGATGGAACCCATCTTTATGATCTTTATGTGTAACACTCAGGCAGATCAAAAATGCTGCGCGCATTCTCTCAAATCCGCTCGTAGCGGATGAGGGGAGGGGCAGGCCGTTTTTATTCAAGAAGGCGAGCCGCGAGCAAAGCAGAGCGAGACATGAACTCTCGTAGTAAGAGTCTGTCTCAGCAGCACAGCCTCAGCGTGGTTGTGACCCAGGTGAGAGGCGCGTTCAAATACAAAGTTGTCAGCAATATTGAATCATTGGTGACAACGTTCTGCTCCAAACCGCCAAGGAGGATTGAGCCGTTCGACAATGAGGGGAGGCAATCCTCTCGTGTAAACACACTGGCAGATCAAAGAGCTGCGTGGAGAGTGATGCAAGCGGGGGCCTTGCCGGCATTAAATCACTCAAGCCTGATCGATCATACCCGCAAGTTTGCCATTTCTGCCTCCGAGTAACTGGGAGGAGAGAAACACAAGAGCGGGGGAGGCGGGGCTCAGCGACGCACACACAAATGCGAAGCTGCCCAAGTTTCGCTTTGATCTGCCTGGGAGGATTAAGCTGCTCATATAACGAGGTGCATCGATCCTCATGTGTAACACACACTGGCAGATTAAGCACGCATGGTGTGTGTAGAGGATTGCTCAAGTCTGATCGTTCAACCCGCGAGCTCGTTGTTGCTTCCTCCGAGGTAGCTGGGAGGAGAGAAACATGAGCGCGGGGAGGCGGGGCCGCCTTCCGCGAACGAACGGGGGCAGACTGTTTTTGTGGTAAAAGCAGCCGTGTCTGTGAGCGCAGCCATAGTGACACACACACAAATTTGAAGCTGTCAGAAGCAGCATCTGCTCCGATCTACTTTGTAGGATAGAGCCGCTTGATGTAAAGAGGGGCACTGATCCTTTTGTTTGAGACACGGATCGAAGCGCAGCGGGGAGAGTGAGTACGCAGGCTCTGTGTCAACGTGAGATCGCTCAGACCCGGTTGCTTAGTTCCCAGGCTTCGTCGTTTCTCTCTCCGAGGCTTGCTGAGAGAGAAGAAAAGTGTGAGCAGGGCTGTTCAGTGAAAGGCGGTCCGCGAGTGGAGAAAAGCGTGACTCATGCTCGAGTGAGCATTCTGTCTAAGTAAGCGCGTAGCTCACTGCCCTCCTGCGGCGGATCCGAGTGCAACGGAGAGAGAGCACGCAGGCACAGCGCCGGCATGAGATCAGTCAGACCGATTGCTTATTCCCTGACTCCGCTGTTTCGCGAGTGGAGAAAAGCGAGACTCATGCTCGAGTGAGCATTCTGTCTAAGTAAGCGCGTAGCTCACTGCCCTCCTGCGGCGGATCCGAGTGCAACGGAGAGAGAGCACGCAGGCACAGCGCCGGCATGAGATCAGTCAGACCGATTGCTTATTTGAAGGCGGTCCGCGAGTGAAGAAGAACGAGACTCATACTCAAGTGAGCATTTTGTCTCAGTAAGCGCGTAGCTCACTGCCCTTCTGCGGCAGATCCAAGTGCAACGGGGAGAGCGAGCACGCGGGTACAGTGCCGGCATGCGATCGCTCAGACCCGGTTGCTTAGTTCCCTGACTCCGTTGTTTCTCTGCGTGGGGTCTGCCCAGACAGATGACATATTCATTGCTCTTCTACATCGTGCAAGTTTCCAGAGAGGAGAAACGGGAGAGCGGGGCTGCCTCCAGTCAAGGCGGTCCGCGAGTGGAGAAGAGCGAGACTCTTGCTCGAGTGAGCATTCTGTCTCAGTGAGAGAGCAGTCTCTGCGTGGGGTCTGCCCAGACAGATGACGTACTCATTGCTCTTCTGCATTGTGCAAGTTTCCCTGCACGATGCCACACTCGCAGCGCGACATTTGCAACAATGTCGCTAGAATTTGCTCTTTTAGGGCTTACCTGCTAGAAATAAACTCTTTCAGAATCGCCGGATGGCGGCAGGGGAAATGGACCGGAACTGCTGTGTCACTGTAGCGGAGGAGAAGCAGGTCAGCTGTGCTGAGAGGTCCCGATTCCAGCTGCAAAGATGTGTCAACGGCGAGCAGGCTTTCAGGATCAGCGATGAGCGTAGAGTCGTCGCTGAAGGAGAAGAACTCTGAGAATCCTGTGGCGAGCGCCCGCTTATATAGCCAGATGCCCAGCCCATTCTGGCGGGCTTCGTCACCATAGGCTCGTGCAGCTCCGCTGGCTAGG